TCTGAGCCAATCGAAGTCATCGACACGACTGTGTGGCAGAGGGTTGTGCCACAAACACATGTTCTCCTCGAAAGTACAGTCACCACTACCTCTCGATGCAGTTTGCGGCGATACTGCATGAGGTTTATGCATTTAGATAGTGAAAGTGCAAGTTTATGGACAGACATACTGGGACAGGTGCCCACTTGAAACGATAAGTTGTCGATTGCAATGTTTCCCAATGAGTTTTGACCAACAATTCCTTCTATAACGACCTAAGAATTTAGAAATTCTTTATAGAATATTCATTTATAGATCAAATTAAAAGTTTATCACATGATATGCCTGAGCGGGAGATGAGACAGGCACCTGACCCAAGTACCAATTATTCCCGGCCTCTCCTTTCATTTCCCATAATATCTTTTCAGGCCTTTCCTCATCGCCGGTATATCTAAGCCTAACCCTTAAGGTTCCGATTCCGTTGCCATACATATGAGTCGCGAATTTCATACACAATGGATTGCTTTCCTCTGAAACAAAGTTAATTTTGAAGTATTATTTAGGATTTAATTTGATTAAACACTGAATACCTGTTGGGTTCATAAGAGGACTGACAAGCATTGCTCTGTCACCGGGTCTTCGGGGAAATGATGACTCGATGTACACAAATCCTCCCGACTGTTCATTTTGACCAAAACTTGTGAAATCACGTGACGGACCCGTAAATATGTTTTGAGAGCCTTTATTTGAGCCAAGATTATGTGATATTAATATAACCAAAATAATACAATAATTGTTTCCATTAAACCTCTGCCGAGAGTCCAATCAAATTCATCGTTTTCCTCCTGATTAGTCCAACTGCAAAGACCCCCTTCGAAAGTGCAGTGACCTATAGGTTACACATTTGATTGATTGATTTGTTAAAATTTACATTATATTTATATATTCATTAATTTGCAAACCTTTGCACTGTTCCTCTGCTTCATCAATGGGCTGGAACTGGACGTCATCGACAGCCACATATCCTCTGTAGGCCCGATCGGCGTCGTCTAATTTCTTGGCTAATGCTTTCAAAATAATCTATGAAAAGAGTTTTTATAAGTTATACTACTTTTAATTACATTAACTGTATTACATTAATTTGATTAAGAATTTGAATACCTTATGCACAGAACCATAAGTATAGGCGACTTCACCCCTAACCCACGTCCCTTCCATTCCTTCACTGCTCTGCCAAATAGTGCGATCCATATCTGTCTCAACATCTCTCAAATGAATCTGAAGATTGTCTGCACTCAAGCCGTCGATTGCATAGAAAAAACTCAAACTAAGGAGTATTGTAAGATATTGCTGTAATACAGTATACAGTATGGCATGACGTTGTCGAAAATTAGTACTACACTTACCACAAGCCATTGGGGCCGGTGTCAGAAATGTTAGGTCCCTGGAAATAAGCTGATGTCGGCACTGGAAGCTCAGTATTTGATTCGGATGTCATCGGATGGAAAACCGGGAATTTGTTGAGAAGCGGTCGAAGTAATGCATTACCCGATGAGAGTCTTGTGTTTAAAGTGGAGCCAAGACTTGAAGTGTTGGATGAACTCAAAGAGTCACTCATTAGCGATGGACTGGTGCTGGGAATGGGTTGGTGTGATGTTTCAAAGTATATATAACCGCCTTTTGAATAGATGTTGTTTAGAACTTTATAAGATGTTAATTATAGAAACTTTTACCACTTGTATCGGCTAAAGTGTGGTCATTGCGAGGACCTCCCATCCAGTAGGCCTGAGCGCCCTGACCTGTTCTCCATCTAAGCTTTGGGTGACTGTCCGGAGGGACAATCCAACCGCACGTCTGTAATAGCGAACCCGATCCAAAATCACAAATGAGGGCTCGAGCCACCTCTTGACCTAAACACAGAATACACTGCTATTCGTGGGATAGATATTAACAAAAAAATTGTTGCAAACCTTCTTCTTCCTGTCTTTTGAATCTATTTTGTAAATCCTTTTGTAATAAACTTTCTGTTGAATTAATATATTGAATGTAAGCCACACAAAAGTATTGATTTATAATAATTGTCAAAAATAGTATTAGATCAAACTTTGAGAAATTCATGTTCAGTATAGATTTATATATTAATACTTTATTTTAAAACATTTTTATTAAAAATTTCATGTCAATTTTAAGATGTTGTTTAGATTTGAAAGTAAATGCTTATAAACTTGATTTCATATTAGAGGCGATCATAGTGTCACTCAAATAATTAATTGAAAGATTTGTCAAAACTTATAGCATTATATAACATTTCAAGAAACGTGATTTGAAAGGTAATTACAAGTTCATAACTTGTTTGCTATACGTAAACAAGAATTTTAAAGACTATTTTTTTCATAAACACACACATAAGTGACTTAAGAATATATTTGGTATAGAATTTCATAGAATTTTCAATTTCAGTGCGAATTCTGTGATAATTGGAGACCAATGGAAAGTATGTCACCCGTAGTGCTCCCATAGTTACACAATTGTGATCCCTTTCCTGCGATAAGTTACTGTCCTTTAATGTTATGTAATATGTGGTAAACTATATATTAATTGTGTTGATTTGCATATAAGCCATACATTTGAAGCGATGCATAAAAAGTAACAATAATTGATGTCTATTAGGGCTATATTTATGGTAATCTCT